ATCCTGAGAAGGGGTATTGGGCGAGGCGTAGTTCAAAATTTACATTGGTTCCTCCATACATGTTATGGGTCTCTGCTGTATATATTCATATTAATTTGGTTCAAAACCACGACACATCTGAAGCTCGAGTTAGAAAATTAACAAGCGTTTCTTAACATCTTATATTAGTTATGTACTATTTACCATACGGGAGCCGTATATATTTGGGTATCTGAATCACGACCTCGATCTGTTAACCAAGCAACATTCTCTTTATCTCTTTAATCAGCCCTAGGACTAACGGAACCCCGATTGGTCCTAAAAGTGGAAGATACACAGCTACTTTATGCTCGTCTGGGAAATACACCTGACCAACCATACTTTTCTCAAAAAAGCTGCGTTCAGCTTCCTTTTCAGCAATTCTAGCGTGAGCAAGGGCTGATTCAAAGGCACCTTGGTGTAGCATTTCACAGGTAGAAGAAAGGTGGGATAGGGTGTGAGAGACAGAGTTTGCGACCGTAACGGGGATTGGTATAGAGGGGAGCGAGAGAGTAAGGCGCGCAAGGGAGCCCATTGTAGATGATGCCGACAAGAGGAGCGATGCGGTATGGATCCGGATCAGGCTTTGAAGACGTAGTGGTAAAGATGGTGACGATGTAGGAGTGCCGAGAAGTGTAAGGAGTTGGTGTGAAAACGTGTCCATAGCGGGCTTTAAAGCCTCGCGGGAAAGGTGAGATGGGTGCTGCAGTTCTGAGATGTTGGATAATGGAGGATTTAAGATGACTACCCCTCCCCACTGAGGGATAAGCCAGCTTGTGGCAGCATTATCTTTAACCACGAGTGGTGATTGTGCCGGTGACGGAACGTAAAGAATGAAGTTGATGGTTGGCCCACCGCCTATACTTGGACTGAGAGGCCATTCCGCCGCGTTGATGAACCCGCTCAAATCATCCTGCTTGAGGGTCCAAGCAGCTTTACTCTCATCATATTCAGGAGGTGTTGCGGTTGGTGAGAATTTAGCGTAGACTTGCACTTGGGTATCAACCGAGAAATTGCTAATGGGGGAAAACACGTTGAGCAGAGGGAATAGGTATGCTTTTAACGCTGGTTCAATGTCCCATGATGACGGGGCATGGCCCGGTGTGAAGAGAGAAAAGCTTAGATGGTAAGTTTCTGCGTATTTAAACGATTTCTTCACACGACTAGCAATGGATTCAAGCTGTATCGCAGAGCTGAGAACATTCGCCCTCTGGTCCTTGTTGACTGCCCCTTGTGCTGCATGCTTTGAAGAGGTGGTCACACTATTGCTCTGCGAGAGGATATACTCCAGTGTGGCCTTCTCCTCATTGAATAACGTACGTAGCTCGTTTGCAATAAACGTTGTAAGAGGTGAATGAGAGGGGGTTTGCGGTTGCGCCTGGCTAGATGGATAAAAAATATCCAATCGCTCAGAGTAAGGGTGTACATTGGAGGAGATCACAGTAATATTTGCACGCGGGATAAGCCGTAGTACTAAGGAACGCTCTCCAACAGCTTCGTTGACTGCACCAGTCTCAGAACTTGGGCTTTCCTTGGTTTTCACAAGTCGTAGGCGGAGATGGTGCGCAGAAAAGTCGTTCAGGTCATCAAGAGCATGCTGTGTTGCTTGAACCAACGACTCGGCTTCATGGATGTTCAACCCAGGAGTGTGGACATGTATATGTAACGGGAAAACGGGCCTACAAGACTATATTACTTGGATATCAATAACTGGTCTCGGTGGATCAAATGTCGGGGGGGGGGGAGGGGGGGGGGGTGGTTGATAGCTAACCTTTCCTGCGGCCCAATTCTCCATCTCTTTGAGCGGGAGCTTAGCCCTATAGATAGACGTTGTTTTCCACCACATAGGCAACCCGAAAAGCAGTATAATTAGGCAGAAAGTGAGTACAATGAGGGATCTCCTGCGAACGGGCTCTGGGTTCTCTGGAGGTGCATTGCGATGAACAGCAGATGCGGGTGCTATCTCATCACGGGCCCAAACTTGAGCCCGGGCTGCTCGGGCATAGCGCGCAGCAGGGGACTAGCCGCGTCGATCTCTGACATTGTCAGCTCATGTTTGACCAGGCTATCATCTACCAAGGGGCGGAGGAGGTCGAGTTGTTGGAGTTTGGATGGACGACAAAGCTGGAGCACGACGGTGCTGACTAATACATGCCGCCTTCACTCGCGACACAAAAAGCGAAGAAATGCCAACGCTGCAGAAGAAGACAATGGGGTAAAGGGGACTGAGCAGACTAAAGAGATGTTTAGAGCGTTATATGGCAGACTTTCATAATATGTATAGTTGTAACAGACGTCCGGGAATGAAGACCTTTGAACTGCTCGGCACTTCTGCCTCGTAGATCTATAACTAAGTGGCTTGGCGGGAATATCTGAATATCTGGTCAGTTAGCTAGCTGCGCATCCAAGTTACAGCTCAACGATATTGCGAAAAGAACATAGAAAGGAGATCAACTGGATCAATTGGACTGGAAATACACAAGCTTAGAATGCAGTGACAATATAACCGCATAAATCCCACCTTTTCTCTCTCGCGTGCACTAAATCCAGCACTGGCGGAAATGTTCGACACCGTCTGCAGTTACCCCCTACCGGCGGATATATTCACCCAGACCATTCATCCTACAGAGCCAATTGTCTCTGTGGGCCTTTCCTCTGGCCATGTCGAGACCTTCAAGCTACCTGCCGAGCATGAACCTGAGCCAGGGGAGGAGAAGAAAAATGGACTAGGGCATATCGACACCGTTTGGCAGACGAGGAGACACAAAGGCAGCTGCCGGAGCTTGACATTTGGCATTGATGGAGATATACTCTACTCTGCTGGCACAGATGGCTGGGTGAAGGCCGCGAATTCAGAGACTGGCCGGGTTGTGACCAAATTTGCGGTCCCAATGCCTAGGGATAAGTACGGGACATGTCATGGTATATTTGCTAGAATTTTTTGTATGTTGACAATATTTGATCACTAGGTCTCTTCACGATACAGACAGCCCCTGTCTGCTCCATGCCCTCTCTCCCCAGACACTCCTTCTTGCAACAGATTCCAGCGCACTTCATATATTTGATCTCCGAAGCCCATCAACAGAAGTATCTGCTCGGCCAGAACAAACGCACTACCCCCATGATGACTACATATCCTCCCTTACTCCGTTACCGCCATCTGAGATGAGTACTTCAGGGTTCAGCAAGCAGTGGATAACGACAGGAGGGACCACAATTGCAGTCACAGACCTTCGACGGGGGGTCATGGTCCGCAGTGAAGACCAGGGCGAGGAATTGATCAGTTCAACCTATGTCACCGGTCTTAAAGCTGGAGGTACTAGCAAGGGAGAGAAACTAGTAGTTGGAGGGGGTAGTGGAGTTATAACTCTCTGGGAAAAAGGAGTGTGGGATGACCAAGATGAGAGAATCATCGTGGACAAGTCACCACTCGGCGGTGAGAGTCTAGAGGTCCTTACTAAAGCTCCAGACGAAGTAAGCTACGGCAAGGTTGTCGTTGCTGGGCTGAGTGATGGACGCCTGAAATTCATTCAACTGGGCAGTAACAGCATCATTTCTGAGACCAGGCATGACGAAGTTGAAGGTGTCGCTGGTCTGGGGTTCGATGTTTGTGGCAGGATGGTTAGCAGTGGCGGCTCAATAGTCAAGGTGTGGCATGAGGCCCCAGAGACAACCGGGAAAGGGAAGGATAACTGGGCGCCATCAAAAAGGCGCCTGGAGGATAGTGGTGATGATGATGACGATGACGATGATAGTGACAAGGAGGCTGCGGCAGAGAGTGAGGAAGAGGAAAAAGAAGAAAAGAAAAGAAGGAAGCGGAAGAGAGGCAAGGGTAAAGATCGAACGGGTGGCCAGCATGTAATGGCCTTCAAGGACCTCGATTGATTTCTCTATGACCCGCTCTCCTGCTACTACGTAAGTCTTGATATCACTCTACATGATGTAGAGCTTTGGATACGCTGGTATTTGCTCACAGCGTGCTTGATCTTGGATAGAGCCAACGTTGCCCAAATCTACCAATTCTACAATAACCATGAATGCCAGGATATTTGTATTCAGGGCATAGAGGGCTTTAACCGCCAACTCTATCGAGGTGATGAAAATGTGATATGATGCCTCTCAGGCAAGTAAGCGCGATAGTATAAGCCTACAATACCTCTACCGTAGGTACAAAGCCATCAATCCAATGGCTAATTGAATGCTAGGATTTAGACTAACAAACATACAGCGTCAAGTTTTCCGTTACAGAGGCACACACACAACTCCTGAACCGCTCGAACAACGGGCCATATCAATCTCTCGGGCCTCAAAAACACACAAAGTGAAATCATTCGAAAACAACACGCACTCTGCTTATGTTCTTTTCGGTACTGGGACCATAAACAGCTGTCTGCAGAAATTGAACGGCTAGGCGTGAACTCCCCACTGCTTCTGTATACCCCTCAGCAAGAAGAGCCCATGCAGGTAATTAAACTAGACGCTAGGGTTTATTCATTTAAACATCTTTACCTTTGTCACATATTCCTTGGTGGTAACTGAACTAGTGGAAGCGTGGAAGCATTGTATGCTCACAGCGGAAACCCAATTGTCAACCTCCTGGCACGAAATAAAGCCTCTCTACAGCCTTGCTAGACATTGTGGCGAAACCTTAATCTAAATCTGCACGATCAGATGCCCTCTACGGTGCTGGGTTATGTGGTTCATGCCTGGGAAGTGTTCAGGGGAAGGTCGAGCTGATCTATAGTTGTCGATACCAGCGTCGTTTGACTTGATGCCGCTATGAAAAATACAATACATCCATCCAGAGGTCTGGTATAGTCTCTCTTTTACATCCTAGATGCAATATCCCTTGGATTTCGCTAATTTTTGTCCACCTCTGGGGCAAGTCACGCGTGAAACGGGAAATCATTTCAACTGAGACTCCAGTAATAAGTCCTAGTGAAAATGACGCAATTCCAAAGAAATATCATTTCAACAGCTTGGGTGTAACTTGGTATATGAGATGGTAAATAGCAAAGCTCAAGCCTGGAGAGCAAAAGGAGATGACTTTTTAAGCCTCCTTTTTATACCGTTATCAGATGGCGGGGACTCACGTGACGATAAGAGAAACTTTGTACATTTTTTTATCCCACCAAAGGATGGAAACGAAAAGTAGGAGGAGAAAAAGAAGACGACGAAGAAGAAAAGGAAGAGTTCAACTGGCAGCAGAGCAGTGCGAAGATGACGGAAGCGCTGAAGGTTGCGCCAGTCCTATCGACGCCAGACACGCGGATTCTGGAGGAAACCGAACCGACAGCAGTCAACAAACCTATCGGCCAGAATTTATCGGACGAGGAATTCCGCATTACTTACGACATTGAGCGGACGATCAGGGAGATAAAAGAGGGAAAATGGCAGAGGATAGCCCTCCAGTTCCCCGATGACATGCTACCTGATGCGCCGCGGGTTTTCCAATTCTTAAGCCGCGGCCTCAGTTCCCAGGACAATGGTAGCCAGAAGAAAAAACACAACACCAACGGCGTGGAAGGAGATAGCAAAGACGTAGAAGACGTGGCCAATTCTATGGACCAGGAGTTGAATCTGGACGAAAAAGCTGAAGGCTGTATGCCCAAACTATTTATACTGGCAGACACCTCATACGGAACCTGCTGTGTGGACGAAGTTGCGGCAGAGCATGTCGAGGCAGATGTTGTAGTACATTATGGAAGATCATGCCTCTCACCAACTGCGAGGCTACCCGTGATATATATATTTACGTGTAGGCCGCTTGAGCATGGTGAAGTCATCCAGGCCTTTGAGGAATCATACCCAGACCATGGAGAGAAAGTCGTCATTGCCGCGGATGTAACATATACCGCGCATGTTGAGGAGATAGCAAAAATACTCACAAAGCAAAAGGGGTATACCAATATCTTTGCGACCCAAGTGGTGCATAACCCTTCCTCCCCAATTCCTAACAGGACGATTCCGCCATCAGTGGAGGCTGGAGAGGAGTCATTAAACGACTGGCAGCTCTTCCATATCTCTGATCCGCCAACCTCTTTGCTTCTAACTCTATCTTCCCGTGTTCCCGCAATCCGGATATACCCAACTGATTCTGAAGCTAGTGGTAAGTCTGGCTCTGGAAGTAAGGCATTACTAGCATCTACTGCGATTTCCCTTCGTCGTCGATATGCCATCCTGACGTCTCTCAATACCGCTCCAATATTTGGCATCCTTGTGAATACCCTCAGTGTAAAGAACTACCTCCACATCGTGCAGCATGTCCAGAGGCTCATTGCGGCAGCAGGGAAGAAGAGCTACCTTTTTGTTGTTGGGAAGCTTAATGTGGCAAAAGTAGCCAATTTCAGCGAGATAGGAGGATGGGTCATCATAGGATGCTGGGAAAGCTCGCTTGTGGATAGCAGAGAGTTTTGGAGGCCGGTCATTACGCCATATGAGCTAGAACTCGCCCTCCAAAGTGACAGTGAGCGGGTATGGACCGGAGCGTGGAGCAGCGACTACCAGTCTCTACTCAACTTCGAGCAGAGTGCTGCGCCAAAACAGAAAACAGACAGTCCTATCTCATCTCCGGCGAAGGCTGAAACTGAGGCTGAAACAGATACACTCAATCATGAAGGAGAGAATGAAGACGAAACTTTTTCTGAGCCAGAGTCAGCTCCCCCTGATTTCGATTTCCGAACGGGCCGATATGTTTCAACCTCGAATTCCCGACCCATGCAGGCGTATTCAGGCTCTTCACATTCGGCTGTCTTGCCCAACGCTGCTCATGAGCAACAAACTGCTGCTGGTGGTTCGAGGTCTCTCGCAAAACGATTCAACTCAGACGTTGCCACCATCGGCGGTGTTGTCTCCCCTGGTGCAGAGTTTTTAAAGTCCAACAGATCATGGAGAGGGCTGGGTAGTGATTTTGTCGTTGAATATGAGGAAGACAACAGCCAGGACGGTGGTCTCAAGGGGAGTGGCGTTGTTGAAGGCCTCTCGGGGGTTGCTCGAGGGTATAGAATTGGTGACAATCAAGAACGGCGGTAGTTAGCATTAGACAGGGTATATTTGGCCAAGTGAAATATTCCTTCTATTATCTTCCGGGGGGCTTTTCCCTCCGCCGCCTCCAACACCATGCCTCTCTTTTGTAGGTATCCTGCGGGAGTCTTCGCCATGACCTTGCCGCGTTCAGCCCTGTGGCCAGACAGCCAGTGTCAATCAATGATCACCGCTCTCTTCGTAGTAGTTGTTGACTAGTTAACCAGCCAGTTGATTGAAGTTCATTGAACCCGCAAGGCCGCGCAGCCTCAGCACGCAGCAACCCACTCCCAGGGCCGCGATGCCAGGGACTCCCCGTACGCCCCCTGTCCCGGACTATTAAAACGCTAAGCGCATAAATAATAAAACTGCCCCCGTCTTTGCTCAACAAAAGCGCCCGCAAAGGCCCTTCTTCCTTCACCTTCAAGTGCGCTGTGTCTATCCACGTGACACTTTGCTCTTAAGAGGCGGCGAGAAAACATCGACGGCCGCCAGCGAAGGCAACAAAACATCGCCAGCTCGACGAAGCGACAGCAAGCCCATCGCCAACGCACCCGTGTGCTCGCTACACTGGACCAGGGAGTCGGGGGGTGGTGCTGCCCTGCGATGTGAATTGCCTCCGGGCCCGCGGTGCACTGACTGACTGACTGAGCGACCGACGACCTGCTCGTAGGCTGTGCCTCAGGCCCGGCCTGGAAAAGGAGGAAGACATAATCTCCCCCAGCTCGCCGTCGATGCGTCAACGCGACCATCCAGCCATACGAACGCAAGCCTCACTTCTGCCCAGCAGCAGCCCTCCACCGTCTTCTTATGATGCCCACCTACCTCCCGTCTTCCCGCCGCCGTCTTACCAGATCGAATTCCCAGTGCTACTGAATCCAGGATGGCCTGTATCTTCGGCCCCGGTGGATCCTCGCCTGACGAGATGAGCCCAAGGATGCCGGCTGCTACATCCCCAGATCTCATATTTAGCGAAGGCGAAGAAGGAGAGCAGCGGCCGACGACGAGACACTCGCAGCTCTCTACATTCGAACGTGTTCTCTCGACTCATCCGCCCATCCTCGAATCGTTCCTCCTACAGACCCCGACTGAATCTATACTCCAACTCTACCACACCTCCTCATACCTCCGGTCTTTCCTCAAATCATACCCGACAGCATGGCAGTATCTCTCATTCCGACTCCTTTTGCCTTCCAGCACGCAGGTTCGCCCGCTGGTTGGAGCCACAGACTCGCAGGGAAACCAGCGCCAGTCCCGACCCTACGCACTCGACCAATTACTACTTCACGTCATCGTACCCTTTAGCCCTTCTCTTCGCAGTCTAGACCTGGATAATACTGCTGTATCGGGTCAGAACCTCATTTCGATCGTCCTTAGCGCACGCAGGGATACGCTCGAGCACATCTCTGTCCGAGGATGCAAAAACGTGTCTCTCAAGTATCATATCATTCCTTACTTGACCATGTTTGGGCTTCAATATGATACAGAAACCACAAATCCGCTCAGCCCTTCGTCAAAAGTCAAACGTCTTGCAATCAAAAGCCTCTACACCTACCGCTGTCGCCACCATAGGAGACGCCCGTATCTAACCTCGTCCCTTCTTAGAAGAGACTCGGACTCAGAACCAACACATGAGCTCGTCAATCTTTGCCATAAACTTGGTATATGGACCGATACTGCTTGGTGTACTACTCCTGCTGGGCGTTGTTTCCGAAGACGAGGCTATGTGGCCATGAGGGTACCACAAGGCAGTCCTGAAGTGTGGGTTGTGTTCGACCGGCTATGGAGGTCCAAGAACTGGATTGGCGCATCTGGTGACAGCAATGAGCCTCCGAAACGAGACGGCCGCCTATGGGAACATGACGAAACTGGCCATTCTGGCGAACCTCTGGGGACTCCTGGTGCCCAGAAATACGGAGAGGGAAAGACAGTCCCAACTCACCTGCGCAGTAGTCACAAACGGTTCGTGGAAGACATAAAATGTGATGCTTGTCTTGAAAAGATATATGAAAGATGTGAGCAATGCAGCGTCCTGATGCATTGTGTTGGATGCCGAAAAACTCTCTGTTACAGTTGTGCATACGATACGCCCTACCCAAGAAGAAAGACGGCGTCTGTTAGTGAATCAGCGGAAGAGACATTTTGGTGGGCTCCGGGAGCCGCCATCTCTCCATGTGCGATGCAGGAGCCTTTTCAGCAAGCCATTGGTCCTAATGCGGTCAACAACCAGAATGGAATGGCCAACTCCCCCGTTTACCCAAACCTGAAGCTACACTGGTGCTGCACTGAACCAATTTTCACTGGCGGTGGTGGAATAACGCTTGGAGTCGCTGGTCGTGAAGTTGACAGGGTACGAGCGGCTCCTCTTCCCCGTGGGCAAGGGTGGGAAGACCCGGAGTACTCATCGAATGAATGGAGCAAAAATTTCCCAAAGTATGCATATGGAGACCCGAAGAAGCCCGACTACACTCTTGCCGAAGGTCACACTGAGATGATGCGTTGGCTACTAGGCCCATCAAGTTGTCAAGTTTCAAGCTGCCCGCGTAATTTGTGTCAAGACTGTTTTGACTCCCCCCAATGGAAAGTCCATTGTAAGAGTTGTTCAAAGCCCTTGTGCATGGAACATGACTTACGGGGGTTGCGTCTTCGAATATGTGGTTATCGAGACCTTCTGCTTGAAAAACTTGCTATTGGGGATGGACGGACACCTGCCTCGTCTGCCGCTTCGGCAACTTCTCCTGCCAGGCCTGCCTTGTCTACTTCGGCCTCGTATGCGCCTCTGAGGCTTGCTCCCCCTGAACAGAGCCATGGCGGCGCTTCAAGCAGCAGCAACCCTCTACCAAATGAAACAAACTCTTCAATTCCAGCGACGGCAGCTATGACAGCCAGTGACAATCAAAATGCTGACCCTGCCTCTTCCTCGACTTCTAACAATCATACCCGTTCCTCTACACCCGCCTCTGTTTACTTTGAAGCAGCACCGCAGTCGCGTAAATGGCTTGGCTGCCAGTCGTTTTTCTGCCCACAGTTCCGAGCTGCCGGAGATCACCGTCAGCGTTGTACAAGCGTATTGAGCGAATGTACATCTTGCTCTGTCCACGTCTGCCAAGATTGCGTCGACGAGAACCCGCCATGCACCTGCTCGTATTGTGATTTGAACTACCTCTGTCCAAACTGTTATGTGACCAAGGAGCAGGATGGAACTTGTCGCCGACTCGAGGAGGAACGTGCAAGACGAGATGAGAAACAGAAACGCGACCTGGAGATGTTTGAAGTTGCTCTCGAACGCAACCTTGCAAACGAAGTTGCCGGGTATGCAGGACAGTTCTTCAGTCAAGTATACCATACTGGAGAGCCCGTTCAAATGTCTGAGCAGCCGACAGAGGCCGTTGGTGAAGCACCTCCCCCGTTAGCTCAACTGGACGCGGCCACTAATAGTCATCCCCCAGCCCAGCCAGGTGCTTCTCAGCATACTGCCGCTTATGATGACGATGACAACGGTCCGGCCGGTAGTGGGTCAGAACATACTGAAATTCTGGGCGATGATGCTTAATCTTGTGCCACTTCACTCTCGACTTCAACTTCTCATCACGTCTTGTGGTACAGCAAACCCTTCACGGCATTGCCATCTATCATACCCTATCCTATCCATTTACCGATCTTAGCCATCTTCTCAAATTTTCCAGCAACTAATTGTCTGCTTCATCAACGACCACTCGAGGTACTCGCACTTTCTTTTTCATTTCATTTGTTACGCCAAGTTGCTTTCTGCTTTTTTTTTCCTAACGACTCTCTGTCTTTCACCTCCTTGCAAAGTGGGTTATTTCTTATATTCGGCGAAAGGAAACAAATTTTCGAGTTTAAGGGGAACCGGGGCTTCTAGCAGGCATTTAGCGATATGGTGTTCTCATTCCTCATTTCAGTCCTGTTACTGTTGTCCTACCATTCCTGTCTATCGATGTTCTTTCAAATCCACAGATGTTTTATTATCTTCTAGTAAAGTATACTTTGTCGATATATATATAGTTATATGTTCTTTCCTATGTTCTTTCCTATTCATTTCACGGAGCATTGCTAGTCTTTAATATTTTTTCTCCTTTTTCTTTCGGTTAAATTTGTAGGGAGCCATCACTGTTCGGCTTGTTCCTTATTTAATGGAAGACTCGGGGAATAAATAGCATTATTTCGGAATGAGAGCAAGAATGTCCAGCATTTCTATATATCTCAATATGCAACACAAGAGTTGACAAGTCTGGTTTTTCTTTCATCATAGTTCTTGGGTCTGGAGGAAAGCAAATTTCCAGGTTGAAACTAAGCAGAGCATATCCTTCCCTGGTGAGCAGCTATATTATCCATGCCTGTCACTATATCCTCCTGCCTGGCCCTTTAAAAAGCAAAAGAAAGTAGAATCATATCCAACAATAATAACATCGAAAACAAGATGGGAAGATGCGGCAAGTTAACTCCGTTCATAGTCGGGTAAAGTCGAATCATCTCTCTTTCCTGCACCATCATATGAACGTTGACAGGTGCCCGTATGGTCGCGACAGAAAACAGGCGGTGGAGTGGCAATAGGGGAAGGTGAAATTATCGAAGATGAATCTGTTTCTGTCGTTCCGGTATAATTAGTGGGGATAGATATCGACATCGATCGCTGGGAGTGGGCTCGAGACGAGCAATAAGAAGAATATGGTGGCGGAGGTGTTTCTCCAGTAGCCGTAGACGTATTTCCTATGCTAGTAGGGAAAGAAATCTGTGAAGATGCGTCGGATGAATCGTCTTCTGTGGCATTATCGGCATTATTACTAGGATATCGACGGTCGTATATGTTCTGGTTCTTTTCATCTCGAGGGTAATCACGTTCGCATAAAGAGCGACGGCCTGAGATGGCTAGGGTCTTTTCCTGTATACTGATAGGACGTGCTGTGTATCTCGGAAGGGGCTGGCTCGAGTGGTAGGGGTCATTTTCATCAACAAATGGTTGATACCGGTTGTAACTGGCAGGGTGTGAGGGCTGGGATGACTGGTTGTCAAGGTGGGGTTGAGAAGAGTAATCTGATTCTTTTTCCTTCTTTCTACTATGCGAGGGAAAACACGAACACAAACTGGCGAAGAAGGCGGCCATTTGGAATGATGTTCCGCGCGAGGCTGTGGGCAAAACGGGCGGTTAACGAGCGTCGTCAGCGTTTAGAGAACACTGATTGGGAGGAAGAACAATTGGAAGTGTGAAAGGGCGTGCAATGCCCTCAAGCCCCAGACTAGGGCTGGTTCACCACGAAAACTAAGCCCCTGGGTGACGGCAGTAGGGCATCTCGGCTGGCAGAGGGGAGAAGATGACAAGTGTGAGAGAAGTAGTTGGTTTGTTCCTGGGAGAAACTGCGGAGGGCTGCGGCTGAGTCACGTGGATGGATGCTGCGGCTCAGCGGGATAGCCCGTAATGTATTACACGTTACTGTACCGTAAATATGAGATTGGCCAATAACAGCTTGGAAACAAGTGGGCGGTTACACAGTCTCACTAACATCCATGGATCCTATTGGCTGAACCATCCATTATGGACTATTAATAATCCGATTCCGATATCAAAATCTTATCGCAAAAGTCAAAATTATCTCGAGATTTTCTTTTTGTGTCAGCCCGCAAATATTATTCTTGTTGATACCAACACAATATTCTCACAAAGAGACAGAGTGTATAAATATACAATGACGGAACAAAATACCTCAGCGTACGCGGACTGCAAGGATTATGTGGCAGTTGCCCAGCTCGTCGAGCCTGTGCACGTCCCAGCGCATCGGTCTCACGACCCCGCCAACAATCAGAAACGAACAGATCCATTTCAGTTCGGCTCACGGTTTCTTGAAGAAGGCGATGATGTCTTTGAATTCAATGCCTGGGATCATGTAGAGGCTGATCCAGAGTACTACGAATATGCCGAATTACAATATGCAAGACAGCGAGCCTCCCCAGTTTCCGACTTTGACCGCCACCGGTTCAATTCCCAACCAGCAAAGTGGTGGAATTTATTCTACAAAAATAATACTGGGAACTTCTTCAAGAATCGCAAGTGGTTGAAGCAGGAATTTCCAATTCTGGGGGAAGTGACGGCGGCAGATGCAGGCCCAAAGGTTGTGCTTGAAGTCGGAGCCGGCGCTGGCAACACAGCTTTCCCTGTATTATCGAATAACGAAAATGAACAACTAATGGTTCACGCCTGCGACTACTCTAAAACTGCAGTGGAGGTTATGCGAAAGAGTGAAAATTATAATGAGAAAAATATGCGAGCTGATGTTTGGGATGTTACGGCAACAGGTGAAGATTCTCTTCCACCAGGCTTAGGAAAGGAGTCCGTGGATGTTGTCGTGATGGTTTTCATTTTTTCTGCTCTTGCTCCAGAAGAGTGGAATAACGCAGTATCGAATATATACCAGGTTTTGAAGCCCGGAGGCTATGTGCTTTTCCGCGACTATGGAAAGGGTGACCTTGCACAGGTGCGGTTTAAAAAGGGACGGTGGATGGGAGAGAACTTTTATGTTCGAGGGGATGGCACGAGAGTATATTTCTTTGAAAAAGAGGAAGTATCCCATATATGGGGCAAATGGACACCCCAAAGAGGCATACCTGAGTTCAAAAAGGATGACGAAAGCACAACAGCCGATGAACAAAGCTCGCCCGATTCTGGATTTGAAATTCTTAACATGGACCTTGATCGCAGATTAATTGTCAACCGTCAACGAAAGCTGAAGATGCATCGATGCTGGCTACAAGGGCGGTTCAGAAAACGAATACCGTCCCTGGCTTCAAAGGAGGCCCCTTCAACGCTCGATCAGCCAAGCGAATTCAAAAATTAAAACTCTCAACAGAAAAGACATACTATGTTTAGCACCTATTTTGTCTCTGGTCTGTCCTCCACAATGGCACTTTGCATTGTTAACGAGCACGCCATTGCAAGGACCTGTGCGTTCAGATTGATGCTGAAAATACGATGGCGGTTAGACCGTTCGATGCTACTGTCCTCCGTGCATATGCAGGCTCTCCTTTCGCTCCACACTGGTTGACATCTACCCTCGCTGTGCCTTGGAAGTCCCGCCGTCTAATAATACTCACGCCACACAGACCCTGGCCATTTCAACGTCTCAACCTTCCGGATAGAATAGACACCGCGATGCCATATTCATAGAAATGCGGAACAATCGAACACACGTCTTACCCGATCAATAACTTCAATTGGTAATAGGTAGTTAACTCCTCAGGTTTGCAACATAATAGTATGCCACTTGCTCTTGTGTCCTTCAAATCAAACATAAGGGCCCTTGATGCACCAGCCAATCGCCACTCTGCAGAGCGAAAGCTTGAGTAACATCCCATCTCCACCGAGCCAATACTACCGAGTGCAACCTCTCCCCATCCCGCGCAGATTTGCCCTTATTTCATGAGGTTGGGTCTTTCCCGCTCCTGAAATTACATGATAGTGGCCAGCATGCTTTCTCGGCGATAATACCGGAGTATCTCCTTTCGGGCGACTCTTTCCAGCTGCAGCTATGGAGGTCTTGGGCAGCTCCAAGGCCCATAGTACGGCACCGAGGGTAGGAGGAGAAATCGCGTCTACGTCTTGGGTGGAAAAAAAAAAAAAAAAAAAATCCTACCTTCCTCCCTCCATTACCCCCCATAGCATTTAAGACATCCCCGGGCCCCAGAACTTTCTCCAGATTCCAATTGCTCACGATCCGAGTTCACCTGCCACCTTGCCATGGACGAAGTTACTGATCAACAGACCGCTGGGTCTATAAACCAGACAAAGAAGACAAGTTGGTTTGGAAACATTGCCAAAAACCCGTTCATATTCGGTGTCGCACTAGTGAGGATTCCTTCTCTATGTTGCTCTAGTTACCATAACTATACCTGTTTTCTAACCAACGGCATCCCGGGTACCAGTTTTCAACCCTCGGTGGCTTCCTCTTTGGCTATGATCAGGGGGTTGTTTCGGGAGTCCTCACGATGGAGTCCTTTGGTGCAAAGTTCCCTCGCGTCTATAATGATAGCGGCTTTAAAGGATGGTTTGTGTCAACGTTACTTCTGGGTGAGTTATATTCACCGAGGTTAATTGTTATAGGGCAAAATTGCTGATAAGAATTTCTAGCTGCTTGGTTCGGATCTCTGGTGAATGGTCCTCTTGCGGATTATATAGGTAGAAAAATGTGTGTGATCACAGCAGTTGTTGTCTTCGTTATCGGATCTGCTATTCAGGCTGGAGCCGTCAATATTCCGATGCTCTTTGCTGGTAGGTTCCTCAAGTTACACCCATTTGTATGGATAATACTAATATCGTAAAGGTCGTGCCATTGCCGGATTCTCTGTGGGACAACTGACAATGGTGGTACCCTTATACATATCTGAGGTAGGTCCTATCTTAACCCCACTCTCAATTGAACACAAATCAACTTACACCATTCTATAGGTGTCCCTACCAGATATACGAGGTGGACTCGTTGTTTTACAACAACGTAAGCCTCATATCTAATCTTTATTTGTTTAACTATTCCAGCTCCTGACATTGTGGCAGTGTCTATTACAATTGGCATTCTAGTAAGCTACTGGCTTGATTATGGAACCAACTACATTGGAGGTACTCAATGTGCCCCAGGGATACCGTACACAGGTGGAACGGTCGAGAAGCCCGTTTTTGATCCCTACAAAGATGTTGGACCAAACGGCTGTGATGGGCAATCAGATGCGTCTTGGAGAGTTCCGCTGGCCTTCCAGATTCTTCCAGCTTTGGTTTTAGGAGTTGGAACGCTCTTCTTCCCAGACTCACCAAGATGGCTGTTTATGAAGGACCGTGAAGAAGAAGGGCGCCAATCACTTGCAACACTACGACGGAAGCCTATTAATCACCCATCAATCGAGACCGAGTTCCTCGAAATCAAAGCATCCGTTATTCTTGAAAATACGTTCGCTAAGGAAAAGTTTGCAAATATGTCCGGGGTCAAATTGCATGCTGCACAAGTAGGTTCCCGGCAGTATCAAATCATAAACTCTCCATTTCATGCTAACGTTCCGTACAGTACTACTCACTTCTTAGCACTTGGTCTAGGTTCAGGCGACTTGCAATTGGATGTTCCATTATGTTTTTCCAACAGTTCATGGGATGCAATGGTACGCTTTCTTCTATTTACGACCACTGGCCAACTAAACTTGATATTAATGGGGCTTCACAGCTATGATTTACTATGCTCCAACTGTTTTCAAGCAATTAGGATTGGATGGGAATACGGTATGTGCAATTCTATTTCGTGAAACGACGTAAGCTATCTACTAATCCCTTCACAGTCCTCCCTCCTCGCTACTGGTGTATATGGAATCATCAACTGTATTAGCACTCTTCCAGCTTTATTCTGGATAGATAGATTAGGGCGTCGAATGCTTCTAATGTGCGGTGCAGCTGGAACCTTCATATCACTGGTTATTGTCGGCGCTATCATCGGTGCTTATGGCTCCAATTTCAAAGCACATGCCGCCGCTGGATGGGTTGGGGTTGTATTCATCTACCTCTATGATGTCAACTTCTCTTATTCTTTCGGTAGGTTAACGTCCAAATAATATGGGAAAGTGCGTGAAGTACGTGACTAATGACATATCAGCCCCCATTGGATGGGTATTGCCATCTGAGATTTTCCACCTCTCAATCCGTTCAAAGGCTATCTCTATTACTACGTCAACCACGTGGATGTGCAATTTGTGAGTTTACAGCACCCAATTTTTTAAGCGTCTATTGATCACTAACGGACTTCCGCCTTTGCAGTATCATCGGCCTAGTAACCCCTGGTATGCTTGACAAAATTGGATGGGGAACATATATCTTCTTTGCTGCATTCTGTCTTATTGCCTTTATTTTTACGTATCTATTTGTCCCGGAAACGAGAGGAAAGGTACGGGCTATCTTTTGTGTTTTACGGACGTTGTGTACATCAACTAACCCGAATGCTTTCTTACTAGACGTTGGAGGAGATGGACAGTGTCTTTGGCGATACTGAAGCACATGAAGAACAGAAGCGTATCATGCAGATAGAAGCAAGCCTCCGCGGGACCGCTATTGATGATTCAGATGCTGTTAAAGCGAAGGTATTGGAAGAGTCTGTATAGGTTTGACCGAGGTCAGATTAGACCCCAGCCTCTGTAGACTGTTCCTGATTTGAAAAATTTACTGAAGCGAAAGCAGCCTTGGAGATGGCGCCTTGAATGAAACATAAGAAAACTGTACGGGTATTACAAGAGAAATATACATGCAGGAAATATAAGGAAGAAAAATAGGGGAAATGAACTCTCCGTGGTCTCCAATTAAAATTATTATGGGAGGCAATACATGATCTGGTATCATATCCAGTGAGTCTAGACCATAAACCTGTCCTCCATCAGGTATTTCATTGACGAAGAAACAAAGAAGAGTCAAGGATAAAAAAATATACTAAGAAAAATAAAGAGGAAAAGTCGGGACAGATGCAGATAGATGTCTATGATGGCAAGGAAATCTTTCTTCTAGGAAGTAAGACAAGGGCATTCGCCCTTTGCCCGCAGAAATGCTCCAGCAAATAGGTCCTGCATGGCAAGGTAGTGAAAGAGAATGCCTCCCAAAACCGCAACATGCCAGATATTATGGCTGCCGCCAACGTAATCAAAAAATCCGGGATGCCAACGTTCCGGAATCTGTGAGGCATATATGCAAGCTCCGCAGAAGTATACAAGTATACTCTTTACCACGGGAGCGTAGAAATAAAGAGACCATTGCAAACCGCGAGTTAAGCTAAGCTGGACAATTGGTGCAAAGCCGGTGAGGGCAAGGGTGACATAAAATGCTACGCGAGCCCAAGCCATGTGAGGGCCGTTGAAGCGAGGATGCCAAGGAAGGATAACGCCAGCGATACCCAACGTGGAGGTCATAAGAATATAGATCCACCGAGAGTATGGTTCGCAGTAGAATGCAGTGTATTCTGTGGTGACAATGGAGGCAGCCACGAGCAAGGAAATACCGGTGTAGTCAACACAGGCAAAGCGTTCCATGAGGGGCTGATTAGCTATACTGTTCATAGTATGCCATAGTGTGCTGCAGACGAGGCATTTGCAAGCGGCAATGAAGAAGATGAACGCAATGGTTACGTCTGTCTTGGTGCTAAGGTGGAAGTTGGGGCTCAGCGGGTAGAAGTAAAAGGCCACAGCGAGAACGATGATTAGGCCGATGAGGTGAGACCAGATGTTGACCAGTTCATTGGAAAAGGAGAAGACAGAAGTAAGACATTCTATCTTCGATGCTGTAAACCGGTATCCCTTTCGGATGTGAGGATTAACTCTCCATGGCTGGGGGAGGTCCGAGTAGTGGATAAGGCGCTTCTCCTTTGCGAGCGCGATAGCTCTATCAATACTTTCTCGGAGAGCAATCTTCGCATGGACTGCACGTTCGATTCCTTCGTCAAGCATAACTCGCGCATGAGTTATGCTGGAGTCGACTGCCCGGAGTCCTTCATCGATAGCGCCATATAAGCCACGGTCTCGAACGCTGTGAACACGGGCTTCTAGCTGGGAGAGAAAGTCCTCCATCAATCGCATGCTTGCCTGAGCCTTTTGTTCAAGTGTTTCCTTGGTAGCCAGTACCTCGTTGTAACGGCTTTCGAGGGTCTCGACGGCAATACGGGCTCGACGTCGTCCGCCACCCATCAGCTCGCCAGAGGCATGAGAGCATGAATCCCGGACCGCTACCAGAGCGCCGTAAGCTCTCCTTAATCCAGAATCGATTTGTAGTATATGTGACTGCCGGTAATCTTCCAACCATTGTAGTCGCCTTTCTAGTTCTGCAAGAAATAAGTCGACCTAAAATGTTACAGGAGAAGAAAAAAAACAAAGTCAGAATAAATTTTATGGGGGACCCCTGAAAAAAAAAAAAATAAAAGAAAAAAGTAAAAAAAAGTGAAGCGATGAACACTCACCTTGAGATAAATTGCGTCTTCATCATAATCACAGGACAGTCGCCTCGATGTGTGAAATGAGTGTCTTCGTCTTCGGTCTTTCAATAGACCAGTCAACTCGTTGGCAGGTGAAAGATATCCTGAGGTCGTACTGGATGGAGTACCAGTACGGCTCTCTATCGTAATCGAAGGAGTTGTGCAGGCCATTTCCCACGGCCGTGAGAGTCCCTTGCTGATAATACCAAGCAAATGAACGTCAAGACCTTCTTCTCGGCGTTGGGGTGGTTGTCAATAGGTATTCCTGTTTGTGGTGGTATTCAAATCTCGGCTTTTGTTGAGAGGTGAGAGAGATGATGGCCTAGGTGAGGTCAAGTTGTTATCATCTTTCGGAACTCGGTTGCCGGAAAAAGAGGTCACTGAGCGCTGCGCAAAGATGGAGAGAAGATACTCCTGATGCAAGTAAAGGGGTTTTATACGGAGGAGGGGCTGCGCGGGAAATCGTTGAGGAATGGACGCTGCCCGGGGTGGAGATGTGTGAATAGCGCAGCAAATTGCCCTCTTGGCGGGTGTGGAGGTTGCAAGCCTGCAAGGTCATGCATCCGAGGTTGCAGCACTTGGCCCAGTCTTGCTTCTGCGGCCTTGCTGTCCTTTCACTGACGCAGTCAGGGGTGCTGTTTCCGGCGTTGGATGGTTGAATGGCTGCGTAGAAGTCGATCGTTCGGTGATAGCAGAAAGAAGGCAAATAAAAAAAAAGTGCGTGACGTCGCGAGTGAAGTTCATTCGTTGCCGACAAGCGGGTGCGTATTGGGATTACCAAAGTTTCCGGCGCTTGTGTTTCACTTTTGGGTGGACTCTGTGTGGGGGCCGCGCGGCCGCAAGGTTAACCCGGTATTTATACACCCGCTTTCAATACACGGCCTTAAATCTTTATTCCTTTCACGCTTCTTTCTTCTTTTTTGCTTGTGAATATCGAGCGAAGCCGCCAAACACCAAAATAAAACACTCAAAAGGACAAGACGAAGGAGAAAAGAGGAGAAGCCAGCGTATAATAGAGCAGTTATACCGTCGCAGAAGATGGCCGTCGAGCAGATCGTCACCGACCCTGCCCTTATCCCCGCCCTGAAAACTTGTTCGGACACCTTGAGCGAGGCGCATAAGCTCATTGCCCTGCTGGAGAAAGGGATTCAAAACCCCTCGTCGAACCCCAACGAGACGCTACAGGATGTGTACAAGCAGCAAAGACACGTTTATTCACTGCTGGCTCAGCTACGTGGACTCAACCGTGAGGCCATTCTCAATGTCAGGTCAACCAAGCAGGCCACAGCGGAGGCACGCCAGGAGATAGACAGACTGCACCTGCAGCTTCAGAACCTGTACTACGAGCAGAGACACCTGAGCGGCGAGATAGCCGCATGCGAGTCATACGAGTACGTGATTTCAGGCGGGTACCGTCTTCAGTCCGATCTGTATGCTGACAAGTATAAACCCGTTTACAGCCATAGCTATCTGTCATTGCCCCTGATACCGGTGGAAGAGTTCATTAGCTTGCATCCAGAACACGCAAACTCGGACGAACATGAACTTACGATTGCCCGAATTAACCATGAGCACGCGGAGAGAGAAAAGCTCGAACAGGCCCGCCAGGAACTCTTGAAGAAGAAACAGGCTCTCATTGCAGAAAACAAAAAGAGAAAGGAAGATCTAGCCAGTCTAGATCAGGACTTGGAACGGTTCATTGATGTCAGCCTCACTTCTGAGCTCCATACATGTAGCCATGAAACCCTGCTAACCACAACATTCTCAGGCTGCGAAACCTATCCAGAAGATATTCGAAAAAGTCTACGTACCTGTCACCCGGAAGTCAAATGGAGAAGACAAATGAGCCCAAACCTAGGATCCTTGTATTATGATTATTTGGCTATGTTCATATACCCCGCATGGATAAAGGAGTTTTGAGGCAAAAATATATGGATTCTGAATCTAAAGGATATCTTGTCTCTCTACCACATAAACCGCTGGGTTTTCCCTGGTTCCTGCGGCCAGTCAAACCCTCTATACAAAAACACGTATCCTGTCCCCAAATTTATGAGCAGGTACCAGGCTGTCTCGGTAAGTAAAGGGAGAAGCTCCAGAACAGATGAGCGGACCGTGGCTTCATTTGCAGGTCTATCTTTTTTCTTGCGGCTCAATGGGGCTATGTGTAGTCGCCAGATGACCCATGGAATGATAAAATATCTCGGTTCCACCAGCGGAGCAGTGATAAGGGACAGCGAGGTTGATATTAGCCATATAAGCACGAAACTAGTCCTCGTCGAAGATTTGTTGGATACTGAGCCCTTGTTTTGAGCCCTTTGCGACTCTTCGCTTTCGTTGCCTTGGGCGGGAGTCATTGAAATTTGTTCTGCAAATATATCGGCCGAAGGGAAGTTAAACGCGGCGATAGTCGTCCATCCACATAAGAGATAAACGGGGGCCGCAGCGTATTTAATCATCGGATGCCGAAGTAAGAGACGGAAGACGTAAAACACATAGTGTCGATTATCGGCCAATGTGAAGGGGTGTACAATGGTGTTCAGGTGAACAACCAGGGTCATGACCACTAAGATACTTAGCATTATGCCCAGGCGCGGAATTTTGCTGGTCAGTTGGGTCAGGCCCTGCGGATTAGATTGGCCAATATAGTTCCACACCTTTAATGCCCACGGGTATAGAATTATTGGCCAGGAGAAGAACATAAAATACGGCCAAATATAGAGCATTTGAGGCAGATGCAAGCCCGCACTGTGAAATTCCTTATGGCCTATAATTAAAAAGGAAATGTTAGGGGTAGGGAGTAGAGATCCTTTTGGGATGATACTTGCCTAAGACGACACTTCCATTGATAACCACGAACAGTCCAAAGCATCCAAGGAAGAAAAGATAGGGTAAAAGGGCTACCAGGACGGTAGATAAATTCGTAAGAGCGGAAATGGCTAGCGAGACTCCAACTTTAAAATAGTCTTCATAGAGCGTATTAGTATAGAGTTATTGATCTAACATCTAAGCTCATCATGGATGCAAGCATTACCTTCAATATACGCGGCAGCGGCAGGAGGGTCATAGAGTTGTTTCAATTCCCAGCTACCCCTTGCAATACGCTGTATGTCAGAACACCGGCATTCTGTAGACCTCGAACGTAGTGTGTTCACCACTTGTAGGCCTCCAAGGAACACCGCAACCCAGAAGATATTTGTTTGTCGGAACACAAGGGCAGCCAATCCAAGTACGACAAGGCTAAGGTATTTCAGAGTCATCCGTAAAGAACCTTTAACAGCACCATGACCATCCACAAAAGAACTCCGCTCCAAATCAACGTTGCAAGCCTCCAAGACAACAAGTAGGGCAGCCAAATCGGTATAATAAAGGCCGGAAAAGAAGAAAAGTGGTGGGAAAAGACAGATATTTAGAGCACTGAGGCTAATTGACCAAGAGCTTATCCCAACCTCCCCCTTTTCCAGCATGAGTGTTTGCCTTAATGAAAAGAACCTTCTCAGTGTAAGCTGAAGAATATTGAACAGCACCAAACCATTTATGCACCGTAGTATGGAAGCCGAGAGTTCCACAGGTTTCCCAAAGAGAGCAGTCGACAATGAAGCCACAGCGTAGGAGACAATATATAAGCCAGGCGGTGTCGTGATTTTCGGGTCCCATTGCTGCCATCGATGATTCCAGTAAGCCTGTGCCTGTCTCACATGGAATACCTCATCTAGATAGGGATTTGGAAGAATAGCATTTATTTTCCCTAGCCAGTAGACCATCAATCTTGCCGCTAGAAGAGTGGTGCACACATGGGGAATAATATGGTCCATGGCGATGTAATGGTATATTTTCAATGTTGTCCAGCCGTCACCATGCATGCTCTTCAGTATTCATAAATGCCAAAACGAATAGAAGTCATAGCCAACAGTGACAATATGAGGTTAGGTATGACTGCCCTTATGCCATAATGCTTGCCTCAACGCGCTTCTCCCGTGGTTGTCTTACATCTCACTTGCCTTTTCCTGTTTGGTATATTAAGACTAAAGGTTTCGATAATTGGTCTTTCACGTGATAATGTTAAACTAAAATAAAGTTATTTTAGTAATGAATTACTAATTAAAGGGTCCCTCGCAAAAGTTGCAACCAAAAGAACGGCGCGACGAAAAGCGCAATTGTATATTAAGCTGTGCAGCTTCACAAGGAGAAACACCAGATCGTTCAATGGCTTTCCCGCTACCGAGGGGGATAACGTCCCCTGAAATCGCCTTTCTCTGCGAAATGGAAATGGTGACTGTAGTTCCCCGGCAGCGTCTAGAGGGGCTAGAATTGCTTGGAGTGAGTTAGACCCTTACTTCAATACAGCTAGGTACAACGATATCAGCTCGGTAATTCTGCCTACTACCGCAATACCTCAGGGGCCAAAGGATCTATAGATGGAGATATCGGGCCATGGCGCCTGTGGAGCAACTTTTCTTCCTATGCCTATCCTATACCCGGTCACTAACTCGACAATCAACCCCGCTAGGGACCAACAGAGGCAATGATACCTCCGCGACGATCTATACTGCCGCTCTGGCTTGCTCTCCTGCTCAAACGCCAGCGTCGTGTCAATATACTAGCCCCCTCATGGCTTGCCCTAGAGTCATTGACCTCGCTTCTCGAGCTGGAAACTATGCGAACAGAACAATTCTGTCCTCCTCCCACTTTAATGGCTCCGGCACAAGATGGCAATACAGATTCAAGACAACACAACCGTGGCAATAATCGAAGTACCAGGCCTCGGTATAACATGGATGGGAAGAGATATACTCCGTCGCCTCCGTTTCTACTCCAAAACACTGTGAATGCAGAGCAGAATGAATTCCTGAATGCCTTGCCTTACCATTGGCTTGAGTTTGCAACCATGCTCCTTGATGTAGCCAGTGACGACATTCAGGATTCTGACCAAGTACGTCGCTGCATTCGGGATATCCGAGAGGTGCGAATGTCCAAAATGCGCCAATTGATGGAAGGGATCGATGCCACTGCTGTTGGCGGTGGAGACGGCTTAGCACTGACAGGTGTGGGCGCCATGGAAATTGGTGAAGCAAGAGGGTTTATATCTGGTGCAGCTGAAGCATTAAGGTACGTTCAACTTTTTAAGTTCTGAAACAATTAACTAACTGGCTTTTCATAGACAAATAGGTGCTTCTAAAGAAGAAACCTTGAGAGAGCAGGCTGGGGAGGATGAAGGAGAGGATATTCAATACGGTGGAAGAAATGACTATGAAGATGAAATGGACGTGGAGCTATAAGTCCCAACGGTATCTGGACTCAGTTCTAAGTTTTTCCTGGGATACAGAGCCAACTGGGAGAGGCCGCTACTCGGCTTACGGCTTATAAAGCTCCGCTACTCGGTCTATGACTGGTTCATCCCTATGAACTACTAGCACTGCTTTGACCGAGCATTGCAGAGCTAATATTTACGTTAGGTGGGCAGTAGATGGCACAGAGTCGATATGCATACTGACTCGAAACTAACACTCCACGGAGTATGCCAAGCAAGCGGTGCTCAATTGTTCTGTATGGCACACTAACGCATAGCTAAGAAGGCTACAAGGTAGTCCCCAACAGCCCTGGACCGAGTGAACCTTTCTTAGGCAATAAAAAGAAGGAGAAATTGCATTCCTAACGGTCTTGTGAGCCCACCCCTATCCGGTATTTCTGCTCAGGAGAAAGTTCAGGAATATGTCCTGATATTCCTATACAATTCTTTCATGGACACCGATTCATAAGCCTTGCAGTGTATTCCTAAACGGCTTACAGAGCTGCTACCCAACGCCTGCATATTCTTAGATAGAAAAACGTTCATATAAGTGAACAGTTATATCCATACACGCTTAAGAACTTATTGATTCCTCAGTTGAGATTCCAGCCATTGTGTAATTGCAAAGCCGTTGCTACAAACGCCGTAGTCGGTTAAACAAATCGCTTCCGATGCCGCTAGATAAGGATAAAGGAGAGTCGTCCACACATGACCAAAGACACAGAAATTTAAAGAGTTCCATGTTAATATTATTGCTGCTGCTCTTGCTTTGCAGCCTTATCTTTCTCTAGCATCTTCCTCCTGGCCGTAAGAATCATTTCGTCCCGTCGTTTCTGCATGAGTCTCTGTCTCTCGTCTTTGTCACGCGACCAGGCACTTCCTTGTCGAAGTATTGTTGAATCACTAGAAACAGTACCAGTTCCAGATCCTTCCGTAGATTCATTATCTATCTTGGACTGGAGGTTATATCGTGCAATGAGATTGGTCGATACTTGTTTTGCTACCTGTTCAGTGGCAGTAGATGTGGATTCAACTGTGGGCGTTGAGGCGGCTGGAATCTGAGGTTGGAACGTAGGAGGAGGCTACAGAGGAGTGATAAACCACACGTCAGCGGGCTGCATACATAGCAGATACAGAATCAGGGCTAGATGACTGATTCCAACTCACCGTCTCTAATCCCCTTCCCGTTAAGATCCGCTCTGTTGTGGCTGCCACGCTTCCGCCGTTCCGCTGTAAATCCCACATAAGTTCTCTCCGCGTAAGCTGAGGAAACATTTGAGCTAAGTGGTCTAGCTGTACTGGATCAACTGCCTGAGCTCTGTTTCTCCCTCCGGGCGCATTACTGCCATCTTGGGATCCCGAGCGTGAGGAGAAAAACCACCGGAAGACGAAGAACGAGACAACGGCGAAGGTAAGGAGGGAAGGAATATTAATCGAAGGCTCAGATTCAGCCATGAATGAGGACATCAGAGGATATCTGATATCTCAGCGAGTTGTTACAGCTTGGAAACGCAGTAACTAATGCGAACTCAGCTCGGCGGAGTTTAAGGAGTCACGCGCGGAGATAATGCGATAGAACAAGAATGTCGAAGGTTGTAGAAACAACCGGAGTTAAATTGGAAACAAACGTATTAAAACTCTCCTCCACTGGTATCGAGCATGAACTGGTGATCCTGATGGGTGGTTGGAGTTGCTAATATGGCCGTCATTGACATAAGAATCTTAGTGTGGCGCTGATGTGTTGGGAGCCTCGAGGCAAACAAATCAACTTTAAGTTTCGCGCTTATTTTTATCGACAAAGTTTTCATCCGAATTAGACGCAGACAACTAGGTTGGTGTCCCTTAGTACGAATACACAGGGCTTCGGATTGAAATGCATTAAATTCGTCAGAAAAGTCTCGTTCACTAGGTACATAGCTACATACAATGCCATCCGTAAACATCCAATCCCCAAACCATGAAATGATATCCTGCGAAAAGACAAAAGGTACCGCATGAGAGTCTATTACTTTAAGTCTGCTGGAGTTAGTGCCTGTACCATACTAGTGCCCTCACTAAACCTCGTCCTGAATATCCGGTTGGCGTTTTGGAACATTCCATCCTTCAAACTGACGACTATAAACTGTGAGCCCTTGAAACGCGTCTTGATCAACCGACCAATATTCTGCGTATGAGACAAATCCAAAGCAGCATCAACCTCATCAAGAATATACATTGGTGCAGGCTTGAATTGCAAAAGTGCCATGATGAGAGACAGGGCAATCAGAGACCTGCGTAAAATTAAAGCATTAGCGAAAGTTAACATACATAGCGACAACAAGGACAATTTACCTTTGACCACCGCTGAGTTCTGTTAAGCTCTGCTTCCAGACTTTACCCAAGCTGACCTTGACCTCAAGACCATCGCTGATCTCTTTCCCTTCCGGGGGGTCAAGTTTGGCGAAACTGCCAGGAAGAAGCTCTGAAAATATCTGGCCAAAGTCCGCAGTAACTTTAGACCAGGTCTTATGCAATGCCTCTTTCTTGTATTCATCCAAACTGATGATTGTCTCTTCGATCTTCCTCTTGTCTCTGATGACTGTTTTCATCATGTTCTTGAGAGAAGCCTCCTTCTTCTCAACACTGTCGATCATGTTCATGACCTTTGGGTTAATCTTTTTCTTCATTCCCTGGAATCGCTCTGTTACATTCCGCAGAGACGCTTTACATTCGGCAATATTTTGATTTTTGAAGTCATAAGGGGTATTTGGCCGACCAAAGCTGTCTTTCTCCTCGGCGATCCATTCATACTCGTTCTCCATATTTGTCACAAGTTGGGCAGCACTTTGTTGGTCTTTGTAAACCTTTTCAAGTTTGTGGCCGAGTTTTTGAAGTTCCAAGGCCTCTTCCGTGATTCGTGCAGCTTTGGACTGTTTAGCTTCATCCAAGTCCCGGAGTTCATCGTCGAATCTAGTGAGTTGAGCTTGCTCATCTTCAAGCTGAGCCTGGGCAATGTCATGTTTTTCCTACAATTATAACCTTAACATCCCCTTCCTCAGATATGAAGTCCTAGAATACTTACCTTAACTCGTGCTTGCTCCTTCACCATTTCCTCAACCTCTTCCACCTGAGCTTTCAAAATCTGCTCAGCCTCCGCCAGTTGCTCCTCAGCAGTTGTCAAATCACTACCAGCTTGCTCAGATTCCAACCTGGATGCTTGGAGCTCCTTCTGGAGGGTCTTGACTGAAACAGAGTTCTTGCTAAGAGACTTTTTCAACGATTCGAGTGAGGACTCAAGTTCTGCAAGCTTGCTATCCTTGTTATTGCTGAATTCACTCATGTCTTTCTCAATTCGTTTAATATCCTTCGATGCTTCAGCGTGACGAGTTTTAGCATCTGCGATATCGTTCTTCAATTGGGTAATGGTTTCTCTCATCTCTTCCACGGCGTGAATGATCTGGGGAACGTCAGCTG